TCTTCTGGCTAAAGGCATCTGCTATCACATTTCCTCGTCCAGGATGATACCTAATCCTACAATCAAAATATTTCAACAACTCCATCTATCTCCTCTGTCGTATATTTAATTTCCTATGAGTGAACAGATATTGCAAACTCTTATGATCTGTATAAATTTCAAAAGTCTCCACATACAAGTAGTGTCGCCACAATTTTAGGACATAGATCACTGCAGCCAGTTCCAAGTCATGTGTCGGATAGTTCTTTTCATGTATCTTTAATTGTTAGGACCTATATGCTATCACTTTTTTATGTTGTATTAGCACACAACCCAGTCCAAGACGAGATGTATCACTGTACACTGCATAACCTCTTTTATCCGATGGAATGGCCAATATTGGGGTAGTAGTAAGTCTTTGTCTGAGTTCCTGAAAACTACTTTCATCGTCACCATCCCACTCGAACTTCACATTCTTTTTGGTTAATCTAGTAAGAGGCTTTGCAATACTCGAAAATTCCTTGACAAACTGGCGATAATATCAAGTTAGCCCCAAAAAACTTCTGATTTTTGATATAGTATTCGGCTTTTCCCACTTTACCAGGGTCTACAGATACCCCATCTCTCGATACAATGTGGCCCAAGAATGCTATTTGATCCATCCAGAATTCACATTTACTAAATTTTACATACAACTTGGTTCTTCGAAGTATCCCTAGGACTACTGTCAAATGTTCAGCATGTTCCACAGAATTCCTCGAGTATTTCAATATATCGTCTATGAAGACGATCACATAACGATCCAAAAGAGGTCTGAACACTCGATTCATCACGCACTCGCCTACTAGATTTCTCCCTCCCTATTCACTCTCCTCCCGACTCCCTACGAGTCGTTCTTCCTGCTACGGTGCCCTAGCCTCTCCGTTAATCCACTCCCTCTCGACTGGAGTTTAATTCATCAATATGTGTTTCCAGATAAACATTTAACCATATTATGCCATTTTCAATGTTTGAAGTTTAAGTTTACAATACCTCCTGTCCCCATCGTCCTCCACAGCCACGATTCGCTCACTCACCTTAATCGTTTCTTCCTTCTCCGGTTCTCTCTCAATCCTCGACCGACTGCCTCATTCCCTCTCTTTTCGTTTCTTCCTTCTCCGACTTTTTCTCTAATTTCTATCAACTGTCTCCTCTTTTCTTTCCTTTCTCTTCTTTTCCTTTTTCCTTTCTTTTTTTTCTCCTTTTCCTTTTTTTTTTCTTTTCCCCCTCCTATTTATACTTATCCTTATTAATATTATTACTTATTATTCATTTATTTATTATTATATATATATATATATTTATTTATTTAACTCAATTATTACATAATATACCCTCTATTATCTTCTTCATTATGAACTTCAAGCAATTGTCGATACCATTGAATTGTATGCGAGTAACAATGCCATCCAGCTTTGATATCATCACTTGAAGTATTCCATTATCCATTACCATCTATCGGTACAAAAATGTAAAATAATTAATCCAATGAAACCAAGGCTTTGTTTAGAATCAATTAAAGAATTTATAATTATTCTAACTATAATTAAAAAATTAATACCATTTAAAAAATATATTAATTCATAAAAAAATTTAAAATTAAAATAATAGGTACAAGTTTTTTAAAAGTAAAATTTATGTCGAATTTTATATTTGTTTGTGATTATCTCAATTCAAAAAAATTAATTGTCACAAAATAATTTTATTTTGTCTAGATATTCACAATTTTTTAAAATAAAGTTTAATTTGATTATTACAATCTTATAATATATTAACGAGTAATTTTTAAAATTATTAAAATTAACCAATACAATTTTATAATACATTTATAAAATAATAAATTTTATATTTTAAATAAAATTTAAATTTTAAATTATAAAAATTTTAATCACTGATTACCAGATTGGGTAGTTCTACTATGAATTAGTGTAACGGCCCCGGAAATTTAAAATGAAATGTATATTAAAAATATCAAATGCGGAAACGAAGTCAAAAATTCGATTAACATCCCTTACACTAAAACCAAAAACGTGCTTACAAAATATAAAAGATCAACTACCTAAAGGAGAAACTTGAAAGTAAAAGCTACGAATATGACTATGGAGTCTTTAGGCGTCCCCTTCGTCGTCTTCCTGCGGAACGGGCTCGGGAACAATGTCTTCCTGATCTGAAATGATTAAATAAGGAGTGAGCTACACTAGTCCAGTAAAGACATCACGATATCTCACCGTCACGGAGGTAAAGGTGAGTAAAAAACACGAAAAGACCAATGGAGTATAATTTACAACAAATCCTTTTATCAATAATAAAACCTTTACCATCCACTTACCTCGGTGAAATTCATAAAACAGTATACGAAAGCAATAACATTATCATTATCATGAAATCATGTAAACTGTATAACATAATACTTATCACACCTTTTGTAATTCAATCATTACACAACATATTTTTCATCTTTTACCAGCCTACTAGTATCCATGGGGATCCATAGGGGTCCTGCTACCCGTGAACCCTTAACGCTTGTAATCAGATTTCCAGGGCCGTCCCCATACTCCGTCCGGTATGGGCGCCAAAACTATAAACCTCATTACCCCGTCCGGTATGAGGGTGAAACGGGCCGTCCCCATACCCCGTCCGGTATGGGCGCCAAAACACATAACATCTCCATACCCCGTCCGGTATGGGAGACCACAATCCCGGTAGGGTTCCCTACGGATCCGGTCCGTCCACCATCTCCAGGATATCTAGTCAGGCTGACCACATTTATACAATTACCCATTTTCATAATCTTTCATTCTCTTTTTCCTCACTCAGCATCATTAATCCACATACGAACAAGCAAAACGGTAATTTATGCCAAACAGACAACATACAGCATCAATATCCCAGTCATTCAATTCATAATCAATAAAACAGTAAAAGATGCACACGAAACTATAAAATGAAAACATCGAACCTCATACTGCATTTTAAACTGTAAAATAGGCCAAATAACAGTTAACCAACAAACACACTAGACCCCGACTCCATTAGCGACCTTAAGCAATTTCACACATTCGTTGATTCAAGAAATACCGTTTTATCATTATTGAACTTTAATACCGTGATAGGAAATAGGGTGAGGGGTCCTTACTCGTTTCGGGGTCCGAACACGGCTTCACAGTGCGCCTACAGGCTGTCCCTAATTTTTCCTGAATTTTTCCCGGGGAACTGAAACGCACCACTGGTACCTGCACGTGTTCCAAAAAATCGCAAATTAGGCCCAGGGCCCCTTTTTGGCCAATATCGCAATTCCGGCACGGCAGCTCCGCCATGCTCTGGCGACGGCGCCGCCGCTTGCGGCGGCGATTCGCCTCGGTTTGGCTGTTTTCGGCCGAATTTGGCCACACTTGCATTGGTCCTTGCGATAAAACAACCCTAGAGCCCTCGGGGGCCCAAAAAATTACGGAAAATCGAAGCTTACCGGCGGCAGTGCTCTCGGGTGCGGCTGCTCTTCGGTGAAGTTCGTGTTTTGGTGATTCGGCTCCAATCAACCTGTAGAGAAAAGAATGGTGATCATTGTGATATAAAAATTGCATCAAACGGAAGCCGGGAAGGGCCTCATCGGAGGAAAAACCGAGAAGGGGCGCGACGGCGCCGCTGGGTTTCGGCCGTGTTTTCCGGCCGTTTGGCCGAGATTTTGGCTCCGATTTGGCCACAGGGGAAATCAGTGTGGAAAAACGAGTCGGGGGTATGAAATTTACCTCGATCGGCGGTCGGAAATCTCCCCGGTGCGGCGGCGGGTGGCGGCAGCCGGCGTCTCCGGCGTCTGGTTCGTCTTCTCCGGCGAGGGCAGGCGGCTAGGGTTTTGTGGTCAGGTGTGGGGGTTCTATTTATACCCTTGCTTTTGATCTCAACGTCAATTTGTTTAATCTGGGCCGTCCGTTTTGA